ACGATGAATATTAAAGTTTATTTTTTTTAGAAATAAAATTATTATATTGTCCTTAATTAAATGGATTTTATTAACATATTTGAACAAAAAAATTGGATAATTGTCATTTTTAAACCTTTCGCAATATCAAATTGACTTTATAACAAACTATGGTGATTGTATGTAGTTCGGCCTTTATATTCACAAGAGGTATCAATATCCACATGTGACTTTAAAGTGGTTCAGTAAGAAATATATTGCCAATACTATAATTTGGTTTGATGATTGGTGTGCACGCATTCAATTGTACTGATTATTATATGTATTGAATTAAAGTGATCTAATTTAAATTAAAATAGATTAAATTTAATATTGTCACGTCTTTAGTAAAACGAAAATGATGGGACTCTTGAAAGTTATGCACCGAATTTGTGTATCGAATAACATGACAAAATCTTAACCGTTGATTAATATTAACTGATAATGAATAAACAGTCAAGATTTTATCACGTTATTCAGTACACAAATTCGATACGCAACCTTCAGTGACTGTAACATTACTCTTAGTAAAAGACCATTCTAAATGTATAATTAATTATGTTAGTAAAAATATTTTATTTGAAAATTTTATTATATAATAAAAAGATTTTTAAAAAATCAATAATAAATCTTTTAACAAAAATTTTAAACTTGGTCGGTGGACTTGCCAACAATATCTTCCATGCGGGTCTAGCGGCACCATTAACATCGAACCATCACCAACTGTGGTAAGAAGAATCTGTGGGAGCTAACTGTAAAATCCTTTTTAAGATATTTATGATAGAACATCCATGATGGAGGCTTTTTTGTCATCGTTCAATGGACGTCTCTATGATGTTGGTTGGTCGTTAATTAATTTTTTAATATATTAATATTATTAAATGATTTTAATGTAAATATTTTTCAAATGAAGGGTTTAGCTATTAATTTTAGAAGAATAGCGCAGGAATTTTAAAATTTATAATGCAAATTCGCTCATCAAAACCAACCAAACACCTAACCAATGTTCTGAAACCCAGATCAAAAGGTGACCCAACCAAGTGACCAGTTTTCGATTTGAACGGTTCAACCGGTCAAACCAATGACGTCAACAACTCTATATAGTGACGCCAACAACTATATACATATATTCATTTTTTCTCACCTATCACCTCATCTCCTCTTTCTTCTTCTCACCTGTCACCTTATCTTCTCACCTCATCTTCTCTTTCTTCTTCTTCACCTTTTTTTTCCTCTCTTTCTCCCCCATCATCTTCTCTCTCTTCTTCTGCTTCTTCTTCTTTTTCCCTATCTTTCTTCCCGTCATCTTCTACTTCTTCTTCTCCTTCATCCTTTTTTTCTCTCTCTTTCTCCCCATCCTCTTCTCTTTCTTCTTTACAAATTAGATTTTGCTATTTTGAAGTTGAAAAATGCCAATGAAGAAAGGGAGATGAGGTAAAATCGTTTTAGGGATTTTGATTCAGTAGACCGGATTTGTTGTCGAACCGATTGGACCGGCAGTCTAACACTGTTTCACCGATCTAATAACGGTTTAAAACGGTCTAAATGATAAATCCGGTTTTATTGTATCAGTAAACCGAAATCTTGAACGAAACCCGGTCAGACCGGTCTAACCGGTCGGTCCGATCCGGTTGTCAGAACATTGCACCTAATAGTAGTCTATTTAATGTAGCATAGTCTGTTAACCAAACACCTCCTATAGCCTTAATTTTTACCCCAACAACAGTTAAATAACACTTTTTTATTTTTTTTTAAAAAAAAAAATACAATACCATGTGTTTCTGTGTACATGGCACACGAAAACTTTGTATATAAATAATCTTACCTGTTTTACATAATATATAAGGACCTGTCATTTCGTTTCTCATTTGACACATTTTTCTTCTCCTCTGGTCCACGTTAATTACTTTTATAAACAATTTAATACACACCCATCAACCCTCCACGTCGCAACATCTCGATGACACGTCACCAATCACTGACGCAGCAAACACACGCCACTTATCACGCATCCTTGATGACTAATTACACTCCCATAAGCCTGGAATTTAGACACCAATCAAACAGTAATTTTGTTGATCTTTTTTACTACATCGAGTTGTTTGTCTTTTCCATTTGGAATAATTTCATCTGGAAAGATAATGCTCGTTTATTTCCCAAATAGGATCATCAAGGTAGTTTGAGCATTGACAGTCAAGATCAAATGGAATATGACCAGTGACTGGATCTAATTGATGATAGACCAGAGCACCAGATTTTTGAAATGAATGAATGGAAAGTCCAAGTTCCCGTACTGTTGTAGCTGGTGAGACTGGAGTGATCATGAATTGAGTTTGTTGAAAACTCAAAGGTGGAGCACTGGGAGTTGCTGGAGACTTGAATCTAATAGTTATTGTTCCGTCACTATTATCATGCATGGTAGATTATGTAGAAACCACTGGAGTTTCTTTTTTATTAAGAGACTCATAACTCGTCACCCAAGAGTCTGGTAACAGTTTAATCAAATCATCTCTGGAAATCTACCTAGGAATATCGATGCAGTGAGAAGTATCTAAGAGTCAACAGTAAGAAGCAACGTGTCAGTAATCGTAGGAATAGCGAGATCAAGAGCATGGTTTTGGATCTGCCAAACCATCTGGTAATGCAAAGTAGATGCAATACTTCCTGGATTTAAATCTGCACCAACTATCTATAGTTGAACTTTAAGAGCTTTGGAGCAATGAACATCAGAGAGAGACATATTGAAATTAGGAAACAGTGTCATAATAACTGTTCCAACATTCAAAATTGTTTGTGTCGTTCCTATGCAAACATGTTGATATTGGACAAATATAGTGTCTAACAGAGCGTTTCGGACAGAGACTGGGAGTCGTTTTCTGCCATGGTAAGATAAAGCAAGTCTGATAGCACCAAAGTTTACATGAGAGTATCCTTCACGGATCCATCAGGTAATGGATTCTTGAGGGATTTCCAAAGTAACATATTGTTCTTGAGTTGTGGCTGGAATTTGAGATTTATCAAAAGTACTAGTCTGGACATACTTTTTGTCTGGCTTTATGGAAGGTCTAATAAGAGTTTTAAAGGTTTTAGACAAAGAAGAAGAAGACTAGGAAAAGGTTGTATAAGGATTTACAATGGGAGGGATCATATCTTGGATTTTTTTATTTTCTAAGATATAAGATATTTCATACAAACTATCTACTTTAGAAGAAGATCTAGATAAGCTAGTATTTATTGGAGCAGTGAAAGTAGATAAAGCTGAAGAGGATTCCATAAGCGTGAGTTCAACCTCTTAGATGTGTAATACAACCTCAAATGGTAAGAATAGCTCAAGACCCATAATAAATTAAGAACATTAAACATAAAACATAACCAAGACTTAAATGAGCCAATATCCGAGGGGAGGTAGTCCTCCGCACACACAGAAATTGGAACCAATAAGTAACTTAAAGAAGTCAATATCCGAGGGGAGGTAGTCCATGAATAAAACATTATTTTTTTTATTCGTGGAAAGATGCCTAGTAATAATGTGACTAAAACGATTTAGAGAATCAGATAAAGAATTATTTCTCCTAGGCCCAAACTTTTGTTCAGATTTTTTTTTTCTTTTTTAGCAAAGAGGAGCTACTTGGTGGTCTTGTAGAATCCTTTCCATCGCTATTGTGCTACTCCTATGAATTTGAAGGTGGAGTAATTTGCGAATACATGTAAAGATTGATATAGTCAGTGCGCTTAATGAAATACAAAATCTGATCTTTAGTGCACATGATTTTTAAGTTAAAAATTCTAATTGTCATTCAAAAGATTGGGTCATAGTCTTTAACATACTCTACTTGTAATTTCAGTAATTTGGATAGATAACACAAACTCATACTTGCAACTATTTTCAATTACCAATTAAGAGGGTTTCTGCTAAATAAGCTATCACCTCTTTAAAGAAAATCCAAGTTTGTTATCACTCTTTCTCCTAACCTGTCTTGGAAAATAATTTTGGCGCGCATCTTGGTAACGTTTTTTCATACCAAGTGGCCAGGAACCTCCACCTAGAAGCACTGTTGAGATCATTGATAGTGATCATGATTGTTCTTCAAGAGAAAGTCCCAGCAAAAATGAAATGACTTCTCCAAGAGTTCTAAGTAGTTCTCATTCAGGTCAGACAGGTGAGCAAAGTGGGACAGGAATGCTCAAAAGAAAACTAGACGCTTGTCTAAGTGTAAGTGAGAGCAAAATAGATAATAATGTTGATGATGTTGAGGTGAACAATTCTGCAACTGCTGATTGCAATACAGAGAAGCTTCAGATGTTGACCCATGAACATGATGGTTGTTGTAACCTGAGTCCAAATTAATCAATCCACAAACCAATCCAACACAAACAAGAATCAAGAATCACACACATACACAAGACAAGATTTACCGTGGTTCACCTATCCAATGATGGATAGATTACATCCATGTTGAGCTCCGAAATATGGAGACTCATTGCACTAGGATTATTCAACAGTTACACAACGATTACAAGCTTAATCGACTAAATCTGACCAATATCTCTACCCAAACTTAATCACCCTAATTTGTACCTGTAACTTGCAAGATTTCAAAAAACTAATCCAGTCTCAAAAAGGAAACACAACCTTCAGTTCAATCCTGCCCAGATTACAACGAAATAGCCCCAGCAACTAAGCCCTAATCAATTGCTCACTCACTCAAAATAGAAACCTAACAGAGAAGACTAACTCGATATCCTCTTCCACTGTTTTGCCCATTTTTATATCATTAACTATTAGTGATTGTGAGCCGCACAATCTGTCTTGAATCAACGTCCAGGATTCATTTCTTTAATTAAAATGAGAACGACGTCGTTTGGCTTCATAACACTTTCAATCTCCACCTTGAAGCCAACATTTTGCTTTTCCCTTTTCTGCTGAACCTCGTTCAGTGCAGTAAGTTTCTCTTATATTTCTTCTCAGCTCCGGAAATTGATTAACTGATGTGAAGTAAGTTCAAGCAATGCTTGAACTTGGCTGTTGTCACCACTTTAGTTCCCATGTCTGCTAGGTTTTCTTCAGTTGGTACCTTCAGGAGATTTACTTTTCCTTTTGCAATTATGTCTCTAACAAAGTGATGCTTGACATCCACGTGTTTTATTCTTTCGTGATACACCGGGTTCTTACTCAGGTGGATGACACTTTGATTATCTGAATAGACTGTTGCAGTGCCACTCAACCAATCTGCTTCTTTTAGAATTCCCTGTAACCATGTTGCTTCCTTGAAAGCATCTGAGACTGTTACATACTTAGCTTCCGTGGTTGATAATGCAACCAGTGGTTGCAACTGTGATTTCCAACTGACACAGTTGCCCCCCAATGTGAAGTAGTATGCTGTAGTGGACTTCCTGGAATCTCGGTCACCTACAAAATCAACATCTACATACCCAACCAGATCAAGTGATGCATTTCTTTTACAAAAGACCAAACCAATCTGAACAGTACAATTTATATATCTAAGCAACCACTTTAGAGCATTCCAATGTTCATTTCCAGGATTTGACATAAATCTACTCAATAGTGTTATTGCATAAGCCAAATCTGGTCTGGTGCTTATCATGACATACATCACATAACCTATGGCATTCGAATAAGGGACATTTTCCATTTTCAGCCTATCAGATTTTGTTTTTGGGGATTGTGACTTACTGAGTATGAAGTGGTTTGTAAGGGGCATTGTTACAACTTTGGAGTCAGCCATGCCAAACTTAGAGACCAGTTTTGTAGGTATAGGAATTGATGCAGTTTAAGGGTGTTTACACTCCTATCTCTATCAATCATCATTCCTAGGATTTTCTTTGCTCTACCTAAGTCTTCATATCAAATTCAGTACTTAATTTTGCTTTTATTTCATTAATCCGAGACATGGACTTACTAATCAATAGCATGTCATTTACATATAACAGTAAGTATATTGGCATGTTATTGATGCAGGCAAAATAGAAACAACTATCATACGTGCTTCTAATGAATCCACTTCCTACTATAAATGTATCAAACCTCTTATACCACTGCCTAGGGGATTGTTTAAGTCCATACAATGATTTATTCAATAAGAATACATACTCAGGCAACTTTTTTATCCTTAAATCCTATAGGTTGGCTCATGCATATCCTTTCATCCAACTCACCATGCAAAAAAGCAGTTTTAACATCCAATTGTTCTATCTCTAAATCATATTGTGCAACAATTGATAACATGAGTCTAACTGTTTTAAATTTAACTACTGGTGAGAAGATTTCAGTGAAATCAATACCTGCCCTTTGTGTGTAGCCCTTGGCCACTAACCTGGCTTTGAATCTGGGTGGATCAGATTGGTTTATCCCCTCTTTTAGTTTGTAAAGCCACCTGCATTCCACCAACTTTTGATCTTTGGGCTTTGGAATAAGTGTCCAGGTGTTGTTCAGATGTAGTGACTCCATTTCCTCTTTCATTGCACCCATCCAATCTTTTCTATCCTTTGATCTCATTGCCTCAGCATATGTATCAGGTTCAAATCTGTGTATTTCTACACCAGCTAGGAGTGTTGTATAGATCAAATCAGCATAGTTGTACCTTGTGGGAGGTCTGATTTCCTTCCTGACTCTGTCTCTGGAAAATTGATATTGGGCCAGATCACCATGTTGGTCCCTTTCAACATTCACATGTGGGTCTTCTTCATCCTCCTGATCTTGGGTTGGCTGTAGCTGGTCTTCTGTTGTGTCAGTCTCATCTGTTTGGATGTATTGATCAGAATGAGTTGCAGGCTCCACCTCAAACTGTGTTATCCCATTTTGTCCAGAATTTTCAGGATCTCCTTGTGAGCTACCTGCATTGTTAGTACTAGATTTGCAAGGAAAAACAGCTTCATTGAAAATCACATCTCGACTAACAATCACTCTGACCTCCAGGGCAGCCCTTTCCCAAAGCCTATAGCCTTTGGTTCCTTTTTGATACCCTAGAAAAACACACTAAAGGGACCTAGGCTCTAGCTTCCCATCCCGAATGTGTGCATATGTAGCACACCCAAACATTCTCAGGTGATCAAGAGATGGTTTTCTCTCAGACCACCTCTCTTTAGGACATTTGAAATCTATGGAGGTTGAGGGACTTCTATTAATCAGGTAGACTACAGTACCTAATGCTTCTCCCTAAAATTTTTTTGGTAGACCAACAATGAATAGGAGACATCTAACCCTTTCTAGTAAGGTTCTATTCATTCTCTCAACAACCCTATTTTGCTGAGGGGTTCCTCTAACAGTCTTATGCCTTAAAATGCCCTCTCCTACATAGTAAGAGTCAAAATCCAGGTTGCAGAATTCTAATCCGTTATCAGTCCTAAGGGCTTTTACCTTCCTATTTACTTGATTTTTAACCAGGTTTTTCCAGCCTTTAAACTTGGTTAAGGCTTCATCCTTAGACTTAAGAAGGTACACCCATACCTTCCTACTATAGTCATCCACAATGGAGAGGAAATAGCAATTCCCTCCATGTGTCCTAACCCTTTCAAGACCCCAGAGATCTATATGCAAATAATCCAGACAATTTTCAGCTAGATGAGTTCCCTTTTAGAAACTCATTCTGTGTTGTTTACCCAACACACATGTTTCATAGAAACTCAACTCAGATATGGATTCCTTACCAAAGTAGCCTTGCTCGCTTAAAATAGTCATACCTTTCTGGCCTATATGGCCAAGTCTCAAGTGTCATTTCTCTGCAGTAGAAAGGTTAGTAGATAATAAAGCAAAATTAACAGCAAGTACATAGTATTGGCCACACAGAATGTATAGTCCATTTTGTTTGACTCCTTCAAGCATTATATCATTATTCTTATAAACTACTATGGACCTATTTTGTGCCTTGTAACTACATCCAGCTTCATCTAATGTTCCTAATGAAATCAGGTTCCATTTAAGTTCAAGTATGTACCTTACTCTAGTTAACATTATGATCTTACCATTATTCAACCTAATGGCTATGTTTCCAATGCCTTGAACCTTACATGAGTGATTATTTCCCATGAACACGGTTTCAAATTCTCCTTTCCTAAGGTTTTGGAACCATTGTATGTTTGGGTTTAAATGGAAAGTGCATCCTGAACTAGGACCCAATCCTTACTGCTAGCTAGATTTGAGACTATGAGAGCTTCTGAAATCTCAATATTGGTGCTAGTACTAGCTAAATTACTCTCTGTACTGTGTTGTTTTTGTTTCTTTATCTAGTCATAACAGTTCTTCTTAAGGTGGCCAGGCTCATTACAGTGAAAGCACTTTCTGGTTTCTCCCTTAGTCTTATTATTATTCTTCTCCTTCTTCTTAGTTCTAAAACTCATGTTTTGTTGGAAGTTTTTACCATTATCCTTTCCTAATTGTATTGAATCTATTCTACCTTTGACAAACAAATTATTTCCATTTCTCTTCTGAATTCTCAACTCTAATTCTCTGGACTTCAGGCCAGCTATTATCAGGTCAATACTGGGAACTGTCCCAATGTATTGTAAAGCATTTTTCACCACTAAATACTCATCAGGCAAAGAATTCAACAATATCATTGCTAAGCTAGAGTCCCCTAACTCCTGATCTGTACCTTTCAGCAATAAAGTCATTTTTAGAAATTCATCAAGATTTTCTTCTAAAGACGTAGTCATATCCATCTTATAAGAAAACAAAGCACCTTTAAGAAAAGCTAGATTCGGTGCAGACTGTAAAGAATACAAGGATTCGAGTTTACTCCAAAGCGTGATTGGTGTTTCCATGTCGTCTACCTTTCGCAGTATAGCATCGGACAGGTTTATTATGACCAAATTATAGGCTTCCTTGTCAATTTCAGACTTCTTTTTCAGTTTCTCCTCAGGCCACTCGGTGGTGTCCTTCTCCAGAGCAATCCCTACTGTATTGTGGGAAATGAAGGTCTTCATCTTCATCTTCTATGTGTTGAAATCAATCTTTCCATCGTATTGGGAGATCTCTATACGCATAGTACTCATAACTTTGTAACTATAACCCTAGACAAATTTGAAGATTTGCTCCCTGACTTGTGTTTTTGACCCAGACTCACAAATTTACCCCAAGACTCAGCAAGATTCGAAGCCCTAGTGATCTAGAAACCTTTAAATCGAAAAAACCCCTAAATTCTGACAAACCCTAATTTTCCAATTTGTCTCAAATTAAATTGATCTTAAACCGAGATACACCTTAGGACCTTGGCTCTGATACCACTGTTGTAACCTAAGTCCAAATCAATCCACAAACCAATCCAACACAAACAAGAATCAAGAATCACACACATACACAAGACAAGATTTACCGTGGTTCACCTATCTAATGATGGATAGATTACATCCACGTTGAGCTCCGAAATATAAAGACTCACTGCACTAGGATTATTCAACGGTTACACAACAATTACAAGCTCAATCTACTGAATCTGAACAATATCTCTACCCAAGCTCAATCACCCTAATTCGTACCTGTAACTTGCAAGATTTCAGAGAACTAAGCACAACCTTCAGTTCAATCCTGCCCAGATTACAATGAAATAGACCCAGCAACTAAGCCCTAATCAATTGCTCACTCACTCAAAATAGAACCCTAACAGAGAAGACTAATCCGATATCCTCTTCCACTATTTTGCCCATTTTTATATCATTAACTATCAGTGATTGTGAGCCGCATGATCTGTCTTGAATCAATGTCCAGGATTCATTTCTTTAATTAAAATGAGAACGACGTCGTTTGGCTTCATAAAACTTTCAATGGTTCTACTGTTAGACATTCAACTACAGTTATTCCTCCTAGTAGTAACAATGTGGAGAAGTTATGCACTTCTTCAAGTCAGGGGCCAGACATTCTGAGGCAATGCAAAGAGAAGATGGAGCGGGAACATACCTCTCAAAATCTTAAGAGAGAGTCTCTTTCAAGTTTCCCTGCTGCATTTGACATAGAGGGCATTTCCAGCTCAAGTTCTAGTTTCTTTGACTCTGATGATGATTCAGATATGGATTTTGACTTTTTTGAGCTGATTGGGACCCAAAATGATAAAAAAAAATGGGAGTTTGAAGCAGACATGCCTACTGCATTTTTGAGCTTTCTTTTATCATTAAGAAGACAATAGCCTGCTCTACATTAATTTGTGTTGATCAACTGGTATTGTGCAATTTCTTTTTGATTTAATCTCTTTCTCAATTGAATTGACTGCAGGGGTACTAGTTTGGCTGAGTTTCTCATAAACGGGGATCCACTAGGAAAGCTGAGGAAATCTATTCCTGAGTTGGAGCAGTATGATGAAAAAGGCCTTGATGATTGCAAAAAACTAGCCACTGAGCACTTGAAACAGTTATTTGAGATATACCAGAGTAAAGAGGATCCTCTATTCTTCTCTTAAATTGGGTACACAACTTTCTTATGATTAGAAGTTTAATCCTTTAGCCAAAGGGAGTTTGCACCAAATTTTAAGTACATATAACTGGTGAATTTTATTTGTGATATATTTTATGCTTAAAAAATTAAGGTTGACGTAAGCTTACATCAGCAAGCACCAATTAGAGTTCAGGAAGGCTTTACACCGTCCAAGAGTTGCCACGTCGCCTCAAGATAGAAAGGATACGGTTGTCATCAACCTAGCAGATTCATGTTTTGTCTATGAGTGAATGAGGACCGCACACCTGTCCAAGCCCCAGATAATTTGAAGATATTTCATAGGTTATCAGTCAATGGGAGGCAAGGAAGAACTTGCACGGCACCTATCCACTTGCAGATTTGTAATCATTATCTTGAATTCAACTACTATAAATAAAGGACTCCCTCTCTCATTTTCGGGATCTCTAATGTTTACTTTCATAAGCAATCAATAGCAAAGACAACCTACGAAAAAGAGACTAACTTGATGCTCAGTTATTGTACCCCTGCTTGTTGTTTGCTATATACGACCTCTTGTAAACTCTCATCTATAAAAGAAACAGTGGACGTAGGAATCGCTTTAGGCATCCAAACCACTTTAAAAATTACCTCTCTCATTTATTATTCAATTTTTGCAGTCGATAATATTGTTTAACATTATTCTGACACTTGAATCAGTTAATCACGTGTAATTTCCAAGAATAATTTAGTATTTTACACGTGCGAGTCGTTAGTGTCAAAATCACTCATCAACAATATAGATGCAAAGCCTTTTGCCCCAAATTAAGTACATATAACTGGTGAATTTTATTTGAACCTTATATCCTGTATGTCATATTTTGGTCCTCTTTCTGCAAAATTTAGTAGTTATTTTGATATACTGCCATGTTTTACTGTTAAGTGAAGTGAATAATGTTGAACTTTCAAATTAAAAATTATTGTTCCTAGTAGTAATGAGATCAAGCCAATTTTTATTCCTTGAGCCTTCCCACATGCTGTAGAAGCGTATGATACAATAACTGGTAAATTATAGCACTGCAAGCATATAACTGTTGTAGACTTCAGAAGCTCATCAACAAATTATGGTTTTCTCCCTGGATTGGTTGGCGTTTGTTGATTTTTATCATCTTTCATTGATATTGTGTCCCATGGTGTATTTAATGATTTTCATTACCATATACTTCTGGCTTCAAGCCAGGAGACATGATAGGTTTGGCCTAGTGCTTTAAAGATCAATATTCAGTGGCTATTTGGTCAGCCGTGTTGTGACAGTCGGAGTGCTCCTGACGGCCGTATTGACGACATTGAGTTGAATCCTTGAACACGCTGTCGCCCATAAATATAATTACATAAAAAATGGCAGAATATTAATATCAGACCAGCAAACAATTGGTGAAGTGAATCAGCCCAAATGTAGATAGTAAATTACTCGTGATGAGAGGAATCGACCCAACTAGACCCTGCTAGCTTCTTAATATTATTATTTTTCATTACTACTCTCAATTGTGTTGCATCATCCCACCGTCCCACATCTGCATACATATTGTATAGCAGCACGTATGGGGTTGAACTTTCTGGTTCAAGTTTCATCAATGCCTCAGCTGCAACTCGGGCCAACTCTACATTGTCATGCACCCGGCATGCACCCAGCAATGCACCCCACACAGCTTTATCTGGTTCAAATGGCATGTTTTTTATCAAATCCATGGCCTCCTCCAGATGCCCATGCCTACCCACTATGTCCACAAGGGCAGCAAAGTGCTCAATTCTTGGCTCAATACCATATTCACTGATCATTGATTTAAAATGTCCACGGCCTTCTTCTACTAGTCCTGCATGAGCACAAGCACTCAACACTGAAATAAATGTTATATATGTAGGCAAAACTTTGGAACTCTTCATCAATTTGAAAACTTGTAAAGCCTCTGTTGCAAAACCATGGGATGTATATCCTCCAATCATTGCATTCCACGAGATTACACTTCTCTGCAGTTTCATCTCATCAAAAATACTACGTGCCTCAGTTATTGCTCCGCATCTTGAATACATGGTGATGAGGGCATTGTGTATTGGCAAATCTGGAATAACTTTTTTAGTGACTAGTTGATGAATCTGCATTCCCAGGTGCAGGTCCAGAATTTGAGTAGACACACTGAGAACTGAAGATAAGGTGTGCCGGTCAGGTTTCTCTACTTCAACTTGCATCTGGCTGAAGAGCTCAATTGCTCCTTTATAGTCCTCGTTTCTCTCACATCCTGCTATCATTGAATTCCATGAGACCAAATTCTTTTGAGGCATCCTCTCAAAAAAATCACGAGCAAGCTCTAAATTACCCATCTGAGCATACCCCGATATCATTGTGTTCCACGAATGAGTATCAGGACTCGGCATTTCACCGAAGAGATTAGAGGCCTCTTCCATATTTGACAAATGAACATACCCACTAATCATAGTATTCCATGAAAAACTGTCTCGTTCCACCATTTGATCAAAGATTTCCCTTGCAGAAACAATATCTCCCGCCTTCACATAACACATAATCATCGAATTCCACGACACAACATTCCTCCTAAAGTTTTCATTTCCTTCTTCTCCTTGCTCACTACAAACTGGTATTCGATCAAAAAGCCTTCGAGCTTCATCTACTCTTCCTCTCTGACCATACCCGGCAATCAAAGTATTATAAGCATGCACTAAATCTTCTCTACCGTCACACCTATTCCCAAATTTAACCAGAATTTTTCCCGCTTCATCCAACTCACCATTCTTAATAAGACCAGCCACAAGTGCGCTTAAAGAAGCAGAGTCCCGTTCAGGCATTTTCTCAAAAAACTCCATAGCACGAGCCACGTCACCATTCTGCAAAAACCCCGAAATCATAGCGTTCCACGATACAACATTCCTCTCACTCTCAGGCATTTCATTAAAAACCCTCAACGCCGCCTCCGTTATACCATTCTTCGCATACCCACTAATCATTGTATTCCACGAAACACTATCTCTTTTAGGCATTTTATCAAACAACAATCTAGCCTCCTCCAAAAACCCACTTCCACGACACGAAATATACCCCGAAATCATTAAATTCCACGAAACGACGTCTCTTCGAGGCATTATATCGAACAGTTGTCTTGCTTTAGCCATTTCTCTGAATTTTACATACCCATTGATCATCGCATTCTACGTTACAGTGTTTCTTTGTACTGTTTTATCAAACACGGCTCTTGCTTCACTCAGACAGTTCGTTCTTATCAAATGGGAGATCTTTTTGTTAGGCGAGTAAACGTCTGGCTTCGACTTCGTCTCGGAGGCAAAGTTGCGAGACAGTGAAGTTACTTTCCGGGCAATGCATGATCCCAGTAAATAACGAGAAAGATAGCTTCGAGCTTGAGCTCTTCTTTTGGTGGCCAAAACGGTCGCGTTTAGCCTCTGCATGGTTTCAGTGGAACCCCAAGCTAGCTGCTGAGCTTACCGCGTTGTTAGATAAACGGTGACACCTTGAACAGACCGAGACGTGCAAGTCTGAAACGGTTTCCAACATATTGGAGTTTCGAGAGCGGAAGCTGGTTGTTTTTTATGGGAATTTGATTGGTTCTTTGAAACGGGGGTTTGATGGGGCTGTTTATTAGGTTAAACACATTAAAAATGAGATTTTAATACCAAAAAAAATTATTTATTCGTGTTACCATAATTTTATCTACATATTTTAAATAAATAAAAACAGGATTAACATAAATACTGTGGGCCTATTTTCCTTCCATCTGATCTGAGATTGTGAGTGCGATGTAAGATAAAATAAGTGATGGGTAGTCTCCACGTCCGCATTCCGCCGCCGTGGAACCACAACGTCCGGCGGCTCCACAACCAAGAGCCACAACAACCCTTGTGCCATTTCCCATCTGCAAGTTTAAGCAAGCAAGGCCAGCGGTTCCTCAGGTCTCTGGTAGTCACACGAGACTCCAAAACGGCCAACCGTTTGATAAGTAAATTTGTTGCATTGTCTCCTCAGTTTATAGCTCTCAACGCCCTCTGTCACCTCCTCTCTCCTCACTCCACGCACCCCCACCACCTCTCCTCTCTCGCTTTACCAGTAAGTCACAGTTCCCTTTCTCAGCTTCATGTTAAAAGGATGAACTTTTATATTGTTACACCATCAAAATTGCCTTTTTTTTTTTTTTTTCTTTCCTGTAGTTGTACTTGAGAATAACTGAGCGTCATGGTTTAAGTGGAATCCGAAGCTAGTTGCTGAGCTCATGGCGATGTTAGATAAACAGGGAAGCATGAAGAGACTGAGCTTTAATGTCTGAAACGGTTGGAAAATTGGAGTTTCGAAGCGGGAACTGTGTGTTTTTATGGGAATTTGATTGATTCTTACTGTAAATGATTTGAAAGGTGAGTTTCATGAGATTTGTGGTCGTTTGGGTGGGCTTATAAGTGATTCTTCTTCTGTTTATGTAAACGCCATGGTTATAAGTCGATGGTTGGTGTTTATGTGAGATGGGTCAGCCCCATGAAGCTGAATCGGGTTGACGAGATGAGAGTTGTAGGACCAAGCCAACTGGGTTTGAGTTTAGGTTTCTTGTTTATGGGTAGGGGAGATTAGGTTGTTTGAAGAAATGGAAGATGTGTTAAGAAAATGGAGAGTGAAGGGTTTGAGGTTGATACAGTTTGTCGAATATGGTTCTCTCTTCTTATGGGCTTGCAATGAGCTTTCAGAATGGTTTTATGGCTACAGAAGATGAAGGATTAGGCATTCCCTTCTCAATAGGACTTACAATCGTGTTGAATTCATGTTCTACAATCTGTCAATGCTGCAAGACTTGAATGATTTTCCGGTTTCGATAACAGAGTTAACAGGGAGTTTGAATGGGGATGAGGTTCTGTTGGTTGAAGAGTTGTTGATCATGGTGTTTTGAATGAGGCGATGGAATGGAATTCCATGGAAGTAAAGCTGGATTTGCATGGTATGCACTTGGGTTCAGCCTACTTGATAATGTTGCAGTGGATGGAGGAGATGAGATTCAGGTTTAGTGATGGAAATTATGCGATTCCAGCAGAGGTTACTGTGGTTTGTGGATTAGGAAAACATAGCAGTGTTAGAGGGGAATCCCCAGTGAAAGCTATGGTTAAAAAGATGGTGATTCGAACAAATTGTCCACTGAGAATTGATAGGAATAATATTGGTTGTTTTGTTGGCAAAGGGCATGTTGTTAATAACTGGTTATGTTGATCAAGAAATGATATTGCTGTTAAGAATTTGGTCTCATAAAGACTTTCATTTATATATTTGATAATGCTTTACACGTAGGTAAAGAACTCGTTTTCTTTACATTTCTAGGGTTCCAGCTCTATCAAAAATTTGTACACCAGAAACAACAAGAGTTGAAGAATGAACAATGAGCCAGAATTGAGAATACCGTACCTAACAAATCTCAGCAGCTCTCAAAACCATGGCATCCACCATATATACATCTTGCCAAGATTTCTGTGCGAGACTGCTTCAGCAATTAAGTGACGAGCCTGACCTTCTACACCTAAAGGTAAAGATGGTGCTGCCCCAACCCCAACCTCGACCCCTTGCAACCTTGCCTGAATATTACTGATGGCTCGCTGCAAATATTGAGAGTATATGCTTAAATGATCAGTTCCAATACGGTGACAAATGCATCAAATTTGCTGATGGTACAATCTTTAAACATTAGAATCGTAAAGCAGTACTTGTTACTAGAACAAAGGAGAACAGCGAATACACATACCTGTGCATGTGGGTTCTGAACTTCTACCCCACTGAATTTGTGGGATTTAGTCCACTCAACGAGAGGATCATGAATGAACGTTTCAAGAACACTCATCAAAGTCTCCCTGTGAGTTCTCAGCACTTGAAGTGTGATTTCACAAGCCTTCAGGAAGATACCCTCATAACCAGTGATCCCCAAGCCGTCAATCATGTTCTATATATATTCCATCAGATAGTGTCAGTTTTTTCAGTAGGCAACTGAAATAATTAGGATACAGCCAGAGAAACAAAAACAATACTATGAATAGGACATCGAGTATTAGTATGAGTTAACTAATAAAATGAAGTCCAGAAAAACAGTGATTAGAAATAAATATATAAGTACACCTTTATCTTTGCTACATGATTAGTTTACTTCACCAAAAAGTTACTAATAATACATTTATCACAAAGGATTATATATATCCTGCACATAATTTCAAACCTTTGGCAAAATGCGAGATATTCCTAAGTGAATACTCAGATCATATTTCATAGATCTTGTTCTCACAGAAAAGTGGAAAAACTCGAGGATTTCTAAAATTTTAAAGAATAGTGATTAAAACCATAGTATCTATGGATATATGTTCTATTTATACCTGGGTCAACCTAAAAGGCACCAGCTCAGGCTTCTCCAACTGCAAACCTTTATCAAACAGGCAACTGAAATCAACATGAACACAGTCACCAGTGGTAGAGTC